CTCTTACTTTTTACACATTCTTAATTAGCATTTGTCATTGATATAACCGATCAGGCTCAGATGAAGCCCTGTTATTGCCGATAACTTTTAATAGAAACAAAGAGTAGGAAAAAACGAGGATTTGAAAAATTCCTGTATAACCGGATCCTGTTATTACTGGACCTGTTATATATGGTGTCTTCCGTATTAAACTTATTTTCCTTCAAAGGGCAAGGTGTCTCTGTCATGACATGTTTTAGATGTAATACACCAGGACCTGTCCATAATGATCACTCTAGATCGCAGAGAAATATGACCATATTAGACTGGTGACCACTATGGACAGGATTAACTTTTTATCTCCGGCAAACCGCTCCCGGTGGCTCATGGTTGGAACCACTGTGCTGGTGAGCTGCTGACAGCGGCTCGGGCACATTCCTTTACGACGACTTCGGCATCAAATTGCTTTTCGAAAATTGCCGAAAACAGGTCTCTTGTACCAGAAGTTCATTCATAAGATGAAGAACTATCGAAACAGGTTTGCTGGTTTCGATTTAATGACCCATTAAATGACGTTTTTGTCATTTTTTGATTTAGCACCAAAAAAGAGCCCTGGCATTGTGGGTTTACCCCCCCCCCCCTTTGGAGATAGAGTTAAAGGTATTCTCATATAGTAGTATGAAAACGATTTCTCACTTTGTACTTGGATATCCTCCAACACAACACATTAGCTGATGCAAAACATTTGTTCTAAGTTCATGAGAGCTTTTTATTTTTTAAAAGTGCTGCTAACAGACTCAAACATCCCATAATTCTCAAAACAAAACAATGCAGGGAAAACAAACAACAAAATCTTGCCCCAGCAGCTCACGGGAGCTGTAAGACTTAATCCACATTGTCAGTAATATGACTGCATGATGTTTACTGATGTCAGCAGCAGTGTGATATTACTGGTTGTCGCATAAGGTATGGGCAGTGGCATTGTGCTCAGTCCAGTGGACACTTGCATGTTATCATAAGTCCCGCCCCCTCTTGTTTAGTACCGTGAGCCTAGTCAGGCGATAAGCTTCTTTCCATCAACTAAATGTACACACTCAGTCCGAGGAGGGGGTGGTGGAAAAGTTTTGTTGAAAGTGACCGTCATGAGCAGGTTTTGAGGTCGACTTGTTGAGAAAATGACTGACTATGGCTATGTTTGTCAGGGAACGCTATATGGGTAGACTAAAAGGGAAAAATGCCATTGTCAGGTAATTGTAGTAGCCATTAGTACATGTGATCGTTGTGGAAAGTTGATCGATAAGAGAGGTACCAGTAAATTAGTATTTGCTCTTATTGGTTGGTTTCTCCAGGCTTCTTTGATATTTACAGGGTGTGGTTATTAGAGCAGAGCGAAGGATGGATTCCAGAACCGATTCCCACAATTAATGCTACGGAAGAAAATTCAGACTCCTTTTTACGTAAATCAATGGTTACCAGTTACTTTAATCATTAAAATCTTTTTTTAAGAATTTATTTTTGAAAAATAAAAGTTGATGCTTCGTAGTGCTCAGAAATCAAGGTTATCCTAAATCCTGAAGATGTTTGGAGCCAACCAGGTAACCACTGGAAGAAATCACATCATTAAGAAGTAAGTAATTGGGTTCGGAGTTGATTCCTACGATTCCTAACTTGCATTAATCGGGATCCTAGCTGCCCAGCACTAGTGGTTATAACAGTCTTCCGAGAGTACACTCTGTTCTTTGTGTATCATTGCAGTGCTCAGAGGATGACCTGGAGCATGGCACGGAGTGTCTACTGTTGGCCATGAACTACTCCCACTGTCACGCAAAGCTGGTGGAAGGTTCTGAGGAGCTTTGGAAGGTGATAGCTCCCCCCTCCCCCCATTTCCATTCAGCCCCCCCCCCCTTCCCCCCCCACACCCACTTTGCCCCACCCTCCTTTCCCTCCCTATCCCTCTTCCCCTTCTACATCCCCCTCCCTCATCCCCCTTCTTCTCCCCCCACCCCCAAAGTGAACAAAAACTGAGGGTGTTTGATCAGTCAGAGTCTCCTTCTCTTTCTTACCAAGACTTATTTACTTTTACTGAAGGATACAAATATACAGAGTCGCTAAAAATATTGGTGGTTTATATATGGACACATTCCTACTGATTACACCACCTTCTCCCAAATGATCAAGTCAAACCTCAAGGAAGACTGGATGAACCATTGGACCACAGGTACGACAGGAAGGATAATGTATGGCCACATGAATAAACCACTGGTCAAAGATCCAATCAATGAATTGAGGAGGTGAGATCAATCCATAATCTTCCAACTTAGAACCCAACATGTACCCCTCAATCAACATCTCAACCGAATTGGCGTAAAGCAGTCTGCTGCCTGCCCACTATGTGACTACCCCTCAGAAAACCTCAGTGGAATATTCATCTGTTCTTCTGTAGAAAACTAACTGATTTAAGGGGATGTTTTCTCCCAAGCTACTCCGCACATCTAATTGCCTCTACTCCTCAAGACAACAATTAGAACAGACATGCAGCTATTACAGAATGGCATCATGCAGAAGAGTTAACGCTCAGATGCTACTGGATTGCTAACAACAACAACATATATGGACACATACATGCACTCTCACACACACACACCACGCACACACACACACACACACACACACACACACACACACACACACACACACACCACGCGCACACACACACACACACACACACACACACACACACAAACACACACACACAGACACACATGCACACACATGTATTTTGGCCTTCTGTCAGTGATCCAGAATAGGAATTTCATCATGTACACATTGATGATGGTCCTGTACCACATCGATGATGGTCCTGTACCACATCATATATCGTAAAAAAATTCCTGTGTCTTTTCTTCTACCAGGTGACTTACCAAAAGGACATTTATTCTTTGGAATCTACCATTAAAGGTTAGTCACTGGGTTGCTAATTGGTTCCTGTTGTTGCTTTAACATGACCATGTGTGAAACAGGGAAGAAAGTTATAAAATATTTATCAGTATTGATGAAAATTTGCCATATTGCTGTTTATAACTAGCATGCATTTTAAGTATTTCATCACCCTGCAAAAAGAATTTATGTGAAAGGAGTGTGAAGAAGGAGGTGATTCCATAAAAGTTTAATAGCCTGCAGGATACTAGTGGGCCAGTTAGGAGATGGGAGTCTCAGGCCCACTGGTCATAATAAAAATGAAAGGTGAAGGAAGGGAAGAAGAAGAGGCCATTATTCTGAACTAGTGTGATATATATTTTGTGCCTCTCTGATGATCACTTCGTACATTTTGAATCAAAACCAGGTTATTATTGTAAATGAGTTTGGAATTAGGATAGAGTCCTACTTATATTTTTTGGTAAGAGAATAGTTGCTGAACGTCCATTCTGTCCCTTGGTTTTGTGAGGAACAAAGGGGAGTGATTTTTGAAAAACTTGCTTGTTTGATTAGAGAAACAGTCCCTTTTTGCAGTGTATCAGAACAATTATTTGGTCAATATGTCATGACATTCAACAATTGGACCCAACCTAATTTTTGAGAAAAAACAACAACTTGTCATTCGTGTTATTTCAACATTTTAGAGGTAGTTGCACCTCTACCAGTATGCTGCAGGTCTATGTGTTACCCTGCACCCCACTGAGGGATATAGAAGAGGTGGTTAAGTCATTTGTAGTGAAGAGTGCTGTCTAAAGGATGAACGCTGGGTGAATTTTGTTGGCTTTGTGTTTTTTTTCTCAGAGCGACAGACTGTGGTGTCCATATTAGGGCAAAGTAGCTTGAGAGAAAAAGTGCACTCTGATCTGTGTATGAGACTACATCAAAGGAATCTTTGTGTAAGTATGTCAGAAAGGAACCTGCGTACATTTCCCTGTTTCCGTGAATTTTGTGAAACCAGTACCTTGGTGTCTTTGTTCTTGTGGTTAGGCTTTCAGACTTTCAGCCGTAAGGTCCAGGGTTTGAATCTCGTCAAGGGCCTGACATTGTGTTTTTGAGGAAAGCACTATAAACACATTTTCCTCATTTTACCCAGGTGAGAATAGGTACTGGTACCCAGCTATAGACGGCCGAAGATCAAGTCAGTTTATATATGGATTAATAATAATTGTAAAGCGCATAGAGCATTCTGTAGAGTGTGGACATGTGCAAAATAAATGCCCATATGTGCTATCATCATAAGAGTACAAATACAGACCTACGTAAAGCAAACTCTCTGGGTTGTTGTAAAGAAGCAATGTCTACTATGTAGTCACGTAATGTTTGGTGTATTTTCTGTCTGTGTTCTGTGTTCATCATGTTATGGGGACTATTTCCAAAAGTGATGATTCAATAATGGTCTTAAATCTTTACTGTGGTTGCTGTAAACACATCCGTTTCATTGGTGGTTGGTGGGTGCTCTGGTGTGGTTTGCTTTTGAACTTTTTTCCTATCAAACATCTATCGTCTTTGTCTCCTCTTCTTCTTTTTTATGTTTGTTACTCTCTTGTAACACCTCTAATCTTCTGGCGCTCATATAACCTTATGCAGTTGCGAGCGCCATTAGACCTCTACTAAAACTAAACTAACATCCGTTTCTTGTATGGACGAAACTGAAAAACAGACCAAAATGTTAAAATACAGAGCAAATATTCTGATGTGTTTTTATTTCTGTTTTAAACTATTTGAATAAATAATTGCTTCTTACAACTGCATTGGCTCATTGTTAAAGACCATTTGGATTATGTTACAAAGTTGCAGTATTGTGCTATTAGTGAGATAATTGATCTGGGACCACAATATCTTTCTAATTTACTTTCTTTAAAAAAAATACCAAAAATTTTATTGTGAAGCGCTTTAATTCATCAAGGAGTGGCCATTATAGAAGTGATATACATTATTATCATTATTATTATTTCCTCATCCAAAAATAATATTGATACATTTCTTTACAGGTGGTCGAGCAGGGTGACCCAGCCAACACATTTGTTGTACTTGTTGAACCAGACGAGCCTTTCACTAACAGAGTCAACCTTTGTTCTCAAATTGAGACATGCTACGCTGCTCTACCAGAATCTGCAGTAAAGCTTGGTGTCTTTGTGCTTCTACTGACTCATGCTAAACCTCAAACAGCATCTCCGGGAAATCTATGCGCATCTAAAAAGAATGCAACAGTTATTGAAGGATCTGGAGAAGAGAATCTCTTGTCTTCCTCAGATACAGTCGATGAGGAACCCCATCATATTACCATCCCCACCAAAACAGAGACATATAAATGTAAAGATTTTTCTGGGAACAATATCACAAGTGAACGGACGAGTGAGCACACCAGAACTTCCTCAAATATCTCCACAAATGTGTCACTTTCATGTTGTAGACCACCTTCATTTTGTGGTGAGTTGACAGATCAAGGTCTCAGCACTTCTAATAGCACTCATGATGGGGAATCGGAAAAGCACAACAGTTTTAGTTTGTCTCTGGATTGTCGACAAAAAGGAAACCAGAATTTGCCGCAGATGATTCAGCAGAGGCTGAAGAAGAAAGGGAACAATGGCTGTACTGTCTTGCAGATTGTTTACTCTGTAAGTTTTCATTTTTGGGCTTTCATTGTTTTCTCTGGTAATGTTGGACTCTATATTCAGAACCTGTAAGCCATCAGTACATATGTGATGCCGCGTGGTGGAATCAGGCTCTCGTCAATTTTTGGGCATGTAGAGCTATTGGTATCATCTTAAAGCTTGTTCATTTGTCTTTGTTTGGATGAAAAAAGTATCCATTTACTTTGAATACAAGTCGAGATATTTGCGAAAGAAGGATGTGGGGGTCACCTGTTTTCAGAGGTAAAATTAGTGAGAAATTGGCCTCCAAACATTAGTTATTTCCTTAGCTTAAGAGTCTGTGGTAACTGAAAATTTTCATTCTTTTTGCCTTTAATCAACATTTTTCACAAAAATCCACACAGAAATGAGTTATTTAATGGGCATGAAAGGTGTTGAGCAAAAAAACAAAAATTGGATAAAAATTCACAAACCTGCGGGAAAATGCCTGTTTCTTCACTTTGATTATTTTGACGAGAGCCTGATTCCACCACGCTGCCTCTCATATACCGTTTTTGAATGTGTATCTTTCATGGTGTGGTTTTGGTGTTTGGTGTGGTTGTAGTGTATTGTTTTCAGGGCCATTCAATTTTTAAAAAATGAAACTGCAGTGACACAATCGCTTCCTCAGTTCTATCTGACTTTTTTAGCAGTTGTGAATTACAAAGACCATCAGATCAGAACACATATATACTCTATCTGCTATATCAAAATCGTAAGAATATTTTTCAGTCGTTACCAAGATATTCAAATAACTTTATTTGAAAAAGTATTAGATCTATATATTGTGAAATTTAAAAATGTTGGCGTCAAATTTCTCAAATAGAGTTTTATAATTCTGAGGCAGTGACACATGTAATGCAGAGATTGATGGCCTGCAAAAAAAACTTTTGTTCATTGATAGAGCCATTTTTTTTCTGCTTTGTTTTTGTCTGAGGGAACCGTCCTCTAACAAAAATGCGTCACGAAGCGGTGGAATGAGGTGCTCGTCAATTTTTGGGCATGTGGAGTTATAGGCATCATCTGAAAGCTTATTCTTTTGCCTTGCTGTCAATGAAAAAAGTTCCCTTCTATCTTGCACAGAAGTCAAGATATTTGCCATTGAAGAAGGTGAGGCCGCCTAGCTTCAGTGGTGAAATCAGTGAGAAAATGGCTGCCAAAGTTTGAGAACTCCAATAGCTGAAGAGTCCTTGTCAACAGAAAAATGACATATTTTGTGTCTTTAATCAACCTTTTTTAAAAATTCACATATAAATGTGTATTTACATGGACATACACGAGGTTGAGCCAAAAAACAAAAATTCGATAAAAATTGCCAAACTGGTGGAAAAATGTCTTGTTTCTTTGATTTGGTTATTTGATGAGTGCCTGATTTCACTCCGATGCCTTACAAATATTAAAGAATCTCTGATAGAGATATCACTGTGTAGAATTTTTTCGGCAAATCATCGTCCCTGCATTATGTATGTCTCTCCAATTTCATCTATCATGGAATGGTCCATCATTGGTCTTGTTGAAAGCATTTGTGGGTGGTTGGAATGACCACTTCAAAATCTTACTTTTTTTTCTTCCTCTCTATTGTTTTTGTTTATCTTTGTCTTACTTTTTCCTAGTACTAAATGAGTGTTACTTTGTAGATCCACTTGCTTGTTGTTGATAGGTGATCTGGTTTGATTAACTCCTTCTTTACTATCCACCATATGTCGTAGTATCGCCCATATGTCCTCCTTATCTCTTCTTCTTCCCTTCTTTGTATGTTACTCTTTAAAAACACCTTCAATCTTTGGCATTTGTATGACCTAATTGTGTTGCTGTAAAACTTTTATTTAATAAAAATCCAACTATGTAGATCTATTTCTCTTTATTCAAGCCCAAATTGAGCAGGATAATTATTAGTTTTGATATGGTTTAGCCTCCCGTTTCTATTCCATCCTCAGAGGTGTAGTGTTGGCGCAAGACACTCTTGGGTTATTACATTAGAACATTTTGGTTGTGTTTTTAGAGACCTCGGCTTTCATTTCTCAGACACTGATGAGACCTTTACTTCTGCTTTTTTTCTATGTTTCTATTTCTCCTTTTCTTATTTCTCCTCTCATTTTTTCTTTAATTGCTCACTTTTCTGTACCAGTTTATTGTTTGCTATAACTAAATACTTATCTCCTTCCTGTTAGGTTCTAGTTTCTTAAAATGTAAAATGTATTTGATTCTACATAATTTTTAAATTTTTATTTCAAATATTTCAGAGCTCTACGGAAACTCTTGGTAAACTTTTGGATGAACTCATCTGGCAGAGAGGAAGTTACTTGGATGGGCAGACTCTGTCTGTGGCTTGAGCTTCTCCCCAAGAGATTGACTGTCTGCTACCATATTCATGGTGCTATGCTCTGGCCTAGCCATATGATTGGTTTTGAAAAAAATATTTTCAACAAAACAAAGTTGCTCTTTAAATATTATAAGTGAACACAAAAGTAAACTGAAAGTTCTTTTATATTATTTGCAGTCTGACTCCTGATTTTAAAAAAATTAACTATGACCTGCAGTTGACTTATTTCTTCCAGATTTATTGTTAGAGCTTAGTACCATTGATGATATGTTGCTGTACCTTTTGAATGCGTGACCACCACCGTGTGTTCTTCTCGAGTGGTGATGCCTTTACTCAGTTGGGTGTTGTTGGGCAACTGCCAGCAATGTTGTGATTTGTTAATTGATTTATTAAGGAAACTTTCCATGCTTGAAAACTCAATGAAGATCATTTTTACTTACATTTAAGTCATGTTTATTTCATTTCTGCAGGGAAGTCTTGCACTTTGAGCCAAGGAGGCAAAATAATTCTGGCTACAGAGCTGCAAAGTTCTTTGAACCTCTCACAGGCTCTAATAGCTATGGGACTGTCATGTGGTGCAGTGTACTGTCTCTGTTTTTTCCGTGCATGGTAGACCCAATTGACATACACTACTTTCAGTCAGCAATTCTTTTACTTTGTTCACTGTCTGTGTCACCTGAGGGGTCTGACAGTGGGACCAGCAGAGGGTCTGGTGATGGGACTAGCACACTTCCCTAGCACTTCAATAAAATTGGAATTCTGTCTTTCATGCATTTACAGCTTCCAGCAGCTTCTCCTCAGTGTAGTCTTAGTGTCTCGTAACGCTAGGCTTTAGGACATGTGGTCTTGGCATTGCCAAAGCTCATAGGAGGTTCTGGGTAATTTTTTAAAAGATTGAAGGAGGCTATAAAAAAATTTCATTCGTCAGTTGCCCACGTTTTCAATTCGAAGGATGACTTTAGATAAATATGAGTGCCTCGGGATGGATTCAAATACCACATTCTTTAATTGTCCTTTACCGTAACATTAACCGTTTGATTTAAAGAGGCACTCTTTCAGTTCCAAAAGGAGTCTGAATCACTTGCCTTCTCAGCTGTGTTCTCTGGTGGCTGCCTTACTTCCTGATCATAGTCGGAGACATCACTTTTGCGATGTAAGTCATGATTCAATGATGATGAAAGCTCATGATTTAGTGAGAATGAAAGCTTGTAATAGTACAAATACAGCGAACCATCTCCATGCATATAGTGCTACATGGACAAACTTCTACTCTCTTACTGTGTACAGTGTACATGTGCTACCCTCCCGGCTACTAGGATTGAGACCTACTTTGATATTTCTCTTTATTAGAGTGTATGGGTGTGTAACCTTCAGAGGAATAAGACATGAAATATGTCATTAGGGAAAGGGTTAAGAACTTGGTGTAAATACTTCGAAATTTTTACATTAATATTTTACTTTATGATTTTAGAAATAAACTAGATTTTTAGCTGTACAAACTTTCATGACTCGTTTCATGTTATGATGCTGTTTTAGCTGAGCACACTCACTCTTCCTTTGTTTTTCTGTTTTCTGTACAAAGTTTATGATTTATAAGACAAATGTGGTTGGTTTTTGGGCACCTTGAAAGGTCCTACTTTTTTTTCTGCTTACAGTTCTGTCTGTATACCTTGCTCTTTCCCAGCACTTAATGCCTAGTCAACGTTTTTCTTTTTTCTTGTGGGTGATTAGCGCGTGTTCTGTTGTTGTTTGCTCCATTTTTCCTATCAAACATCTATCGTAATTATCTGTCCTCCTCCTCCTTTTCTCTGTTTGTTACTCTCCAACACCTCTAGTCTTCTGCAATTGCATGACCTATTTGCGTTGCAGGTGCGATAAAAGTCTGGCTTAACCTGGACTTCTTTTTGCATAAAAAAAGAAACATGAAACAAATAAGACTGAAGACTGAGAGCCTGGTTTTGCTTCACTGAGTGGGCCTTTGTCTCCACAATTCACTGCATGCAATGTCATTTTTAAATTAATATTTATTTACACAGTCATGTAATTGCTCTATGTTATTAAACTATACATAACATCTATGTAGTAAATGCTGAATGTATCTTTGTATGAGCTGAAAATATGATTATAGTTTTTGTGTTTTAATAAATACATGCAATAAGGTCAGTGAAAAATAGAAGCCACAAGTTGGTTTTGATTTCTTTGTTCTTGTGTGGCTAAAAATGATTTAGCCTGAAAGCCTTTACCAGTTCTGTTATTGTTTTTGTTACTGTACTGTTTTGCCGTGTCAAGGCAAAGCGACGTATCTGCAAAAATTATTTTTGCATCTTCGTTTAAATGGACCCATATACCCATTCTGCATCTTGTGTCAAAGGCAGGAAGACGTATCTGCACTACAAATAGGATATTTCACTATGGCAAACAGACGCATCTGAAGGGCCATGCCCATATTTCCAATTTCAGCGTGATGTAAATCAAAATCATGAAAAGTACAGATACGTCGCCCTGCCTTGGCACGGCAGTGTTGTAGCTGTTGTTGTTGTTTTATTGTTGTTGTTTTCTTCAGATACTTGTATCTTTTCTATTTTGTAAGATGTTGTGCAGGTTTCTTTCGCCTTACAATATTCTGATAAATCACAATCAACTAGGTGGGTGGTTGATGGGTGCTCTGGTGTGGTTTGCTTCTTCTTTCCTATCAAACATCTATCGTATTTATCTCCCCTCCTTCTTTTTTTTGTGTTTGTTACTCTCTTGTAACACCTCTAATCTTCGGCACTTATAAATGACCTTATTGTGTTGCAAGTGCCGTAACACTCTTACTTAAACAAAACAATTAAATAGGAGTCAGGACACCAGCATCTGTGGTGTAGTTGTTAGACGCTTCAATATAGCTCGAAGGAGACTGGAGTTTAATTCCTGAGTGGGGAGAAATTTTTATTGAGT